ACGGTGGGGGGGGGGTTGCACCACATTTTTGTCCGTGTTTGTATTATCGGCACTTTGCCCATAGTACCATTTGCGGCTGAAATTTCGGTGCATCCGTAGTTAAATCCAATTGTGAATGGGGAACATTATCCAGTCTGCGCGCGTTTCCTCTTTAAGCCGTATCGTCTCAAGTCATTTAGAGGAAAAATAAGCCTGCGCTAATGATCGCTCACTAATAGACTGAACCCTCTCCGGGGTAAACGAGCCGCACTTTGTACTGCGAAGGCCTCTTTGCCCCCTTCCCATCGCTCAAAGCGCCGTTCCCGCAGCGGAGGGAAGCCATCAACAAAATAGAAGATAATTGTTGAATTTTGAGCATGCGTCTGGCTCGGGCTGTCAGAGTGCCAGGAGGAGGACATCAGAAGACTTCCCGGTGCAATTACCGGGATGGTTCTCGGCGGAATGTCATCTGAACTGTGCGCACCGTTCGGAAACCCATGACTGCACCGGCGGCAGCGGCTTGTGCTTTATATAAAGGGAATATAAAGAGAAAAGTCTGTTAATTGGCAATCTACTGGAGACCTTACAGCGAGCATGAGCAACCTTCTGCACGGCTGCTGTCACCGCCACCCGCGTCTCCGAAGTCAGCGAGCGCAGTAGCTATACTTTGCTGACTCCTGCTATAGGGGTATGTACAAGACGGACGCTCAGTAGTTCAGGAAGGGAAGCCGTCTGTCACTGCTTCTGGTAGTTCTGTTTTTCATCTGACTACTGTCTGCCAAGTCCTGACGATGAGCGTTTATTACAGGGACCCGGCTAAGCCTGCGTGTGCTTCTTTTCTTTCAGTGTGACCAGAGAGTGTCAGCAGTGGGAAGAGCTTTTGGAAGATTACAAGAAGAAAGCCGAGGAGATGTCCAGGTTGGTTATAATGCGATGCTGTCGGGGCGCACGACTTCAAAATTGTGCATCATAAAAGCTTACCTGCAGGTTGTGTAATGTATGAATTCTTCAAGGATCAGCCCTCATTGGGGCTTAGGCTATGCAGAGTGTTTTACACAAATATTTTATTATACATACACTTTTTCACGATTGCTTGACACGGAGGTGACATCATCTGATCCCTACCGTTATCTAATCTGAAGGGCATTTAGCGCTGTACACTTCGTTACACCGTTATGCAGAGTGGAAACTACCAGGCAAGTAGCACAGGTGAGAAGTGTGATGTACGCACTGCTTTACCTGCCAGTGCGTCCATCCATTTGTGAGATTTACACAGCTCCGAGACTCGGCACAGTCCTTTTTTGACAGGGCAGGGGACCAGATTGTGGCCAGAGGTCAAGTCGTCTGGTACCTAGTAGTGGTGCCACTTATGGTCACTGGCTGATATGTAACAAGAGGCTGTCATAAAGATTGGCCTACAGTGCAGGTCTATCACCCTGGTGGTGTCTCCTCACAGCTATGCTCCTTTAACCGCCTCCTGGCCGGCGTTTGTACATAAATGGCCAGCCAGGAGCTTCCTGGATGTAACAGGCCGTGTATATACAGCCTGTTGGCCCCCGCCCACTCGTGAAACAGCCCAAATTTTAAAACAGGCAACGGTGCCCGTTTACATATAAGCGATCCGCCGGCTACAGAACGCTTGTATGGGGTGCCGATCGCAGAGCGCCCCCGCCCCCCCACTGGTCCCGGGCTCCGCTGTGCGCGGTGTGAGCCCGGGACCAGCATGGTAGCTCTCTGACCGGGTATTAGAGGGAGATCGATGCACGGTCCCCTCTCCGCTGTCAGAATGCGGAAGTTATGTCTATTACATTCTGCATTCTTGTGTCACTCTCCAGCTTCAGATGCTGGAGAGAAGGTGGGGGAGCAGATCTCGGCTTCATCAGCTTCTTTGGGGGTCCTTAGGTGACTTTAGGGGTCATGGAGACTCCTGATGTCTCCATAAAGAGGACCTGTAGTCAAGAACCAGCTGCACTCCTTACCGCAATAGTAGTAAACCTGCCAAGCAGGTGGGTGCTTGTAGTGACCAAGGACGGCCCCGTGAACAATGCAGATCTAGAAAGGATTTTGCTGGTGACGATCCTTTTCTAGATCTGCATAAAGAGGACCTGTCGCATCTCTTTGCTATCACATAGGGGGGTTTCTTAGCCCCCTATGTGATAACAATAAAGTTAAGTGAAAAAAAATAAAAGTTGCAAAACAATTAAAGTCGCACATGAAAAAGAATTACTTTTAAAGCTTGACATGTTAGGTGTCTATTTACTCAATGTGACCCCGTCTTTTATATATTACAAAACAAAATGGGTAATAATAATTTTCTTAAATGAGAACTATGAGGGGGGAGGGGGGCTTTTCACTCCTCCTCATAGTTCTAGCCGACCTGTGACAATGAGACTGTCACAGGTCGGCTCAGTAGATCGAGAGGTGAGATTGTGTCCTTGTCATTTCCTGTGGACTAAACTAAAATCATTAACAATGGTATAAGCTTTCTCAGCTATCTTTTTGTGAACTTCAAAGTAACACATCTCTATGTAATAGAGATGAGGAGAGGTGTTTTAGTTCAAATCAAGAGAGCAGCTAAAGTGACATAGATACAGTACACTGAGTGAGCATTGTCACCCTAGGACTGGAACTATGTTATTGGCAGAATTATCAGTAAAAAATAAAAAAACAGGCTGAAAAGGGAAACGAATGCAGCCACCACATATAAGCACAGGTAAAGTTCAAGTTATATTTAGTTTTTTGGGTGTTCCTGCCACTAACACACTTCCTGTTCTAGATTGACAACAGTCACTCAAATTGCTATATCTTTGGAGAAGCAGCATTGTCACCCTACAACAGGAAGTATGAACTAAAAAGCACACTCCCCTCTCTCCATCTCATGAGGATGTGTTTTGCAGTTCAGAGATTTAATGGACAAAGCTGTATACATGGCTTAAAATGGTACTGCAGAGTGCACAGGAACTTGCAAGCTCACTGCATTTCAGGCAGCTTTAACAAAAATGTTTTGCAGTTATCGAACAGATGTAACAAAATGCTTTCTACTGTATTTTTAAAGCATAGCTCCAGGTTAACATGTTATTAACCCTTGCAGGGGGGCAAGGCTACCCCCCCCCCATTGCAAAGGTTAAATGCTCTTTAATCTAGGGATAAAGGAATAAGCTGTAATATATAATCTTCCTCATTCCGGCAGGCTTCCTCCACGCTGTGGGACTGTTCCCTCTAAGCGCTCGTTCACGCCAGTAAAAAGACCCGACCCTGGAAGGGACTGTCTGCGTCCAGATGCTGCCCCCAGACTTTGTCATTCGGGCCCGGCGGTCACACAAAGTACAATGCGTGATCAGTAGTTCTGCATTGTACATGAGCACAGCGAGGACCCGCCCAGAGCGCTGGGAAGAAGAGGAGAGAACCGGGGCGAGGACTAAATTAAAGCCGGAGGTTTGAGACCCCTGTTCTAGAGAGTCCAGACTTGTGTCTACCATGGGAACCAGGGGCGTCCCCATAATGAGGAGGCCTGAGCTGGTAGCCTCCTGGAGGGCAGCATCATGGGTGACTTAACGGCACCCAAATCCCCCCCCTTTCCTGGCTGGCAGCTCGGCAGCCCACCGCCTCCAACCCTGCTGGCAGCTTGGACGGTCCTGATGGGAATTATGTCTACACACATGTGCAGAGCTCTCCGGCTGCATGCATGGTAGGGTGACGCTGCATCTGACTGGCTTACCCATCAAGGGATGCCGTTTATTGGGTCATGAGTGACCTTGATAAACACCGGGGAGGGGTCATCATGTGATCATCATGGCCACGGGTAGCCAGAGTGTCTTCCTGCCCCAGCGCAGGAGGCCAGTGGGAGGGTTGGGAGAATTGCCACCCCTCTTTCATCTACTTTGGCTCAGTTGACCCTGTCTCTATGAAGGTGCCCCCCCCCCACACACACACACTCACACTGACAATGGGGGCTGACTATGTACCCGTGTAGGCCTTTGGGTAAATTACCTCTCCAGCCCTTGAGTGCAGAAAATGACTACTTTGTATAATGATCATTTTATTTCCATAAATAGAGCTTGCAGATAAAATGTAATATTTCACACCAGAACCCCCAGATTGATCTTGGACTGTGCTGTGTGTGGGAGGTGTAAATCACAAGACCGGCAGAGCAGAATAATCAGTGCTTTACCAGATGACGCATGTCAGAGGTGTGTGTAGTGGGGTTTGCCAGGCGTTCACTTTAATAAGCCTTAATCTGGGCAAAATATGAACGCCCTCAATCCCATCCTGCGAGGTTGTACCATCGCCACCATCCGGGTCCCTTGCCCATGTACTTTGCAGGGGGGGGGCACTCACCCAGCGGTGCTACAGATGCGCATGACCGTTCCCCCTGATAGTCCCCATGTGCTGATGTCACTCCTCTCCTGGATCCTGAGAGGACCCGGCTGCTGGACAGCCAATAGGAAATGTCCTCGTCACTCAGGCAGTGACATGGATGCCTGAAGACGGACCCCGGACCTGAAGAGAGAAGATTGTGGGCTGGGGCGTCATGTGACCGAGTCCGAGGGGTGGGTGGGGAAGGTTGATATTACCCCAGAGTTGGGCTTTAAACGTTTTCCTGTTCGGCTGAGTCTGAAGTGTTTTTTTCTTTCCCCAGTAATTGCCGGATTGCATTATCCAGACTGTTTGTTTTTCTTTTCCCCAATTTTGGGAGAGGCTTTAATTATGTCTGCAAATTCGGTTATGATTTCATATCTTCATCTGAAGTCATGGAAGAATGTATTTCCTGTCTGTAGGCAGCTGGAGGAAAGTGAAACGACGAGCCGTCCGTCAGGAAGTGAAGCGCGCACCCTCGCATCACAACGAGAAATCCTCCGAAGCAAACCGGACTACAAGGCCATCCTGAGCCAGCAGGGGGCGGTGTTTGACAGCATGGAAATTGTGGTAGGTCTCCGATTACCCGAATGTTACCCGAAATGTCATTTTTTGGGTCTGTAATGCTAATTTTCTAATTGTAGAAGTTTTATATCCATTACTAATGTATTATCTAGCTGATGCCACAGAAAGCAGAGATTCTGGTGATAGACCAATGTACCAATGCCTTACATGCAGTGTGTGTGTGTGTATATATCTGTGTTATATATATATATATATATGTGTATATAACACAGATATATACACACACACACACTGCATGTAAGGCATTGGTACATTGGTCTATCACCAGAAACTCTGCTTTCTGTGGCATCAGCTAGATAATATATATACATACACACGCTTGTCATGATTACAATTTTCGTGTTCGATCGAAAAAAAATTGAAGCAAATAATTATAACGCACATAGAGATCCAACTACATTGGCCTATACACATACAGCACAGCAATGACCTATACTCATACAGCACAGCAATGAAGTAATAAAATGAACTAGGATCACACTCATCCAGCACGTTATTCATCTCACGTGCCCCACCCAATATGGCCGCCGCTTGAGTGGGGCAACTCAGAATAATAACGTGCTGGATTAGTGTGATCCTAGTTCATTGTATTACTTCATTGCTGTGCTGTATGTGTATAGGTCATTGCTGTGCTGTATGTGTATAGGTCATTGCTGTGCTGTATGTGTATAGGTCATTGCTGTGCTGTATGTGTATAGGGCCAATGCCTTGGCTGGCGCTTGTGCACAAAGTTTCTCGTGCAAACTCACCGGCCCAAGTGGCTCCCGTCTAACGTAGGGGGGAGGAGTCCGGTGACGTCACGGACATCAACGTCACCGGACTCCTCCCCCCCTTCCCTTCGTTAGCCGACGGAGCCACTTTGGCAAGGGGGAGTCCGGTGACGTCACTGGATCGCCGACGGGACTCCTGGAAGCTGGCGGAGAGGTGATTGTTTTCATTAGCGATCAAAATAATTTTAATCGATCAAAAAGTTTAACGATTAATCGAGAAATGAATCTTTAATACATACATATATACACCGAGTGGCCGGATTATTATATACACCGAGTGGCCGGATTATTATATACACCGAGTGGCCGGATTATTATTATACCGGCGTTCGCTCACTTCTTGAACCTGTCACAGCTCTCTGCCGTGACAGGGGGAGGGGCTGGATTCCCCTCTCCCCGCTCCGATCCTCCAGCGCTGACTGGCGGAACGGACGGGGGAGGGGGCGGGTACAGCTGGCTCTGCCTCTAGATAGGCAGAGCCAGCTGTCACTCACGCAGCTGGGCGGATCCCGTCACCTACGTCTGGATCCGCTCCGGCTGCGGCGTCTCAGTATACCGCGAGCTGTAGCTCCCTATATACTGAGCTTAGGGTGACGGGAGGACGCTAGTTTGTGTCCCCCCGTTATCCTAAGGAGAACTATGGGGAAAAACACTGGCGGCCCAACGAAGTACTGATGGCGGGGGGGCATAATAATCTGCCCACTCAGTGTATATATTTATATTTTCTGCCATTACCAAGTAATTAAAACACTTTTTTTTTGGATGGGAAAAATTTACGTGGAATCGGAAAACTTTTAAAGCTGAAGTTTCATTTCCTTATATTTTTCCTTCCCTGGTTCCTCCTGTCAATATGCTGATTACATTTTTATATAAAATCTTTCGCTTTTTTCTTATTACACATCTTATTTGAGCTCCAGTGATGTCATCACTGGGTGTCTGTATTTCTCTGAACAATGCCGGCAAATCATGGCTGGTGGGAGGGGCTTCCTGAAGACATCACAGCGCCCTGCCTCAGTGCTCCTCAAGAGCCCTCAGCCATGATGCAAGCAGTGGGCGGGCTCTTGGGAGGAGTTATGCCAATATCAAAATGCCATGATGGGCGGGTGTCAGTCTGGAGGAGTGGGCGTTCCTAGGCAGACTATTTGCATGCAGAACCTCCTAGGTGAGAACCACGTGTGATCCTGAGCCTCCATGATTGAAATAACTCAAAAAAAAAAGGGGGCGGGGGGCAAGGCAGGCTGAGGAGAAAAGGGCTAGAAGATGCTAAACGTCCTCTAGCCAGGAAATGAGGCGGAGCTCTATCTGACTTGCTGCAGCTTCTAATGCACATTGTGAGAAGCTCCCAGTGTGCAGTGATATCGGAGGAAGAGGAGCCGGTACAAAACTCCCGGCAAGGCCGTTTGACGAGAGAAATGTGTAACTTTATGGTTGCTGTATATACAGGTTGATGGGGCTTTGTAGGGTGTTTTGCGTCGCATCTTCATACCGATATTTTGTGTCCGGAGGTTGTAGTCGCTCTTCTCCGTAATACTGAAACTGGAATGTTTTTGTCTCGTGTTTTGCAGTTGGATGAACTTCAGCAATCCGTCCAATTAATAGATTCCTTCTCCGGTGAGACCTCCTCACACTTGGAGCGACTCTCTACACAGCTTGGTAAGCCTCCGCTCATGTCATTGTGTGCTTGATGAACAACCTGTGCGGGTTGCACGCCGCCAACCCACTAACCTGTGCGGGTTGCACGCCGCCAACCCACTAACCTGTGCGGGGTGCAATCGGCTCCCTGGCAACCGATGACATCAGTGAGCTGGGAGGGAAGCCAGAAGTAGCGTCAAAGGTTACTAATAGGGATGCACCGATACCCGTTTTATTGGTATCGAGTACCGATACTTTGCTTTCGTTACTCGTTGGTACTGATACCAGAGCTTCCGCTGCCATGGAGCCTGCTTTCCAGGCAATCTGATTGCCCGAGAAGCTGGCTCCATGTTGTCCAACCTGCTTGATCGAGCTTGGCTGGGATACCGGCTTCCCAGCCAATCAGCATGGAGCCGGCTTCCCAGCCAATCAGCATGGAGCCGGCTTCCCAGCCAATCAGCGAAGCGGGTCATTAGTAGCCGCCCAGCTTCCTGATCGCACGAGAAGTTGGCTCCATGTTCCCCTATGGCACTGCCGGTCAGATGAAATCCTTTGATCGGACGTTCCGGTATTGGGGAAGGTATCGGAGCATTTGGGCGAGTACGAGTACTTGCTTAAATACTCTATCGGCACCGATATCGAAGTATTGGTGCATCCCTAGTTACTATGAACTCTTAACATCCTGGGACGTGACATGCTACCTGAGGGGACCGGACCGTGCACTGGCTGGCGGGGGCATTGCACAGTTATGTTCAATGAGGGGCCAGGAGAGGTGGTGTTGGTAAGGTCCGTTAGACGTGAGTGTATGTATGATTCTTCTTGTTCTACCATTAGGCCCCAGTAGGGGATGAAACGCGTAAGAAGGAGGAGCTGGGTGGAACAATAAAGTTGTGCAGCTTGAATATATCAGGCTGACTTTTGTAGGAAACAAATGATCCGCAAAGATGAAATAACTTACGGCTAACGTGTGTACGGTGACATGATGTTAGAACAGTAGAGCCAGACTTCAGGGAGAGTTCAGACCCCCTGCCTATTGCAGGGGAGGGATCGCTGCTACCATGTTTCCCCGAAAATAAGACGCTGTCTTATAATTTTTTTGTTTTTGCTTTTTTTTTTATTAATGTAAAACAATCCACGCTGATTCATGTAGAAAAGTCTACATGTATTTATGTACAAAAAATATGGTGATCAGGGGTGCGCCGTACCTTTCCAAGAGCAATTTGGTAACCAATCGCTGGCCAGGATGAGCGAAGCGCGCTGTCGCTATGGATTCCTCACAGATGGAGTGCATTTGGTATCACTCCGCCTGTGACAGGAGGCGGCGCTATAGAGGAGGCATCGGCTTATGCGGCTCTGCTCCCTCCACTGTCGCCTCACTTCCTCTAGCGCCGGCTTCGTTGGCACCGCTGCCTCTCTCCTGCCTCTCCCGCGGCTCTTCAAGTTCCCCCTTATGCCACCACCGGCCCTGGGAATGGTCACAACTAGGTCTTATTTTCGGGAAACAGGGTAGTATAGCTGAATGCATCGCATGTCGGTGGCATTTGCATAGTGCTGGTCCAAGCTTTACACCCCCTCCTCTGGGAATGAGAGAAGATACTCTACTGGGATACATGATGCTGCTTCACTTTAAAGGAGAACTATGGGGTTCTATCTTTTTTTTATTAGGCTAAATAAGTAAATCATGTAATTTACTCTAATTAGCCAAAATGCACAGTAAGGCTGTAAACCCTTATTTAAGGTGGTGGGCGGGGCTAAGCGCCGCAATAAGAAGACATCCCAACGTATCTGACGGTATCCTCCCCACTGATGACTGACAGTGAGTCTTGAGAGCCGCAGCAGCTCTCTCCTTACCTGCACGTCCCCGTGTGCCAGCTCCTTTCTCTCTCTCTCTCCTCTCTCTCTCCTCTCTCTCTCTCCTCTCTCCTCTCCTCCTCTCTCCTCTCTCCTCTCCTCTCCTCTCTCTCCCTCTCTCCTCTCTCTCTCCTCTCTCTCTCCTCTCTCTTCTCTCCCCCTCTAGAAGGAGCCCTCTCTCCAGCATTTACTACAAATGGGAAAGTCCATATATTGTTAGATGATGTCACTGGAGATCCGTGCAGATCGGATGCTTGCCAGTCTGCAGGGATCTCCAGTGACATCATTCACCATATATGGACTTTCCCATTTGTAGTAAATGCTGGAGAGAGGGCTCCTTCCCCTCTCTCATCAGCGATCCCAAAAGAACGATGCTACTACAATCAAGGTAAGGGGTATTTTTATTTGCCCTTAAGTCATAGTTCTCCTTTAAATTCTACCAGTTTGCGAACATTGATATTGTATGTTGTTACATTTACTGTAAACCTGTTTTTCTTTTTTTTCCCCCATTTACAGAATCCAAATCGTTTAAGCCGATGGAAGATTCTCCAATCCGAACGTTTCTGAAAGTCTCCCAAAGAAAATAGATCATTTTCAGGTCTAAAGGACAAGACGTGACATTTTGGTATTTATGGGGTGGGAACACCGGCGGCTCCTCTTTTTGTGGTTTGTGCGGCACGTTCGGAGTCCGGCGGGCTCTAGGCGGTCTTGTCCTGAAGAAAGTAAAAGTTGTGAGTGATGATGGTATCGGAGCTTCTTGATGTCAGCTGACCAGCCATGGTTCTGTAGCCAGGAGACTCCTGCCAAGCCTCTGTTGGGAGACAGGTTGACATGTTGCTTTTAAAAAGTGGAAGACGTCTTTAAAGTTTGATGTACTTCTTGAGAACAACCGAGCGTTGGTTGTCTTTTAGCTGTATCTAAGGTCCACTGAGCTATACAAGGAACACACCCACCACTAGATCAGTGAAGATTGAGGAGCAGAGTCTGTGCAGAGACCTAGCAGGCCCTACCAACTACAGGCTGCCTGCAGAAAGCTACATAAGAAGGTAAAGACGAGACCAGTCACCCTGCTTAAGAAGAGAGAGCAACAGTGACCGGCCTTTATTACAGGAGGGGGCGGACATAAGACCAGTCACCGTGCACAAAGAGAGAGAGCTGCAGTGACCGGTCCTTATCACAGGAGGGGGCGGAGACGAGACCAGTCACCCTGCACAAGAAGAGAGAGCAACAGTGACCGGTCTTTATTACAGGAGGGTGGAGACGAGACCAGTCACCCTGCACAAGGAGAGAGAGCAGCAGTGACCGGTCCTTATCACAGGAGGGGGCGCAGACAAGACCAGTCACCCTGCAGTAGGAGAGAGCGCAACAGTGACCGTTCTTTATTATAGGAGGGGGCGGAGACAAGACCAGTCACCCTGCTCAAGGAGAGAGAGCAGCAGTGAGCGGTCTTTATTACAGGAAGGGGCGCAGACAAGACCAGTCACCCTGCACAAGGAGAGAGGGCAGCAGTGACCGATCCTTATCACAGGAGGGGGCAGAGGTGAGACCAGTCACCCTGCACAAGGAGAGAGAGAGCAACAGTGACTGGTCTTTATTATAGGAGGGGGCGGAGACAAGACCAGTCCCCCTGCACTAGGAGAGAGCGCAACAGTGACCGGTCTTTATTATAGGAGGGGGTGGAGACAAGACCAGTCACCCCGCACAAGGAGAGAGAGCAGCAGTGAGCGGTCTTTATTACAGGAAGGTCCAAGTCTCGCACTGGATTACTGCACAGATCTGGAAGAAATACACAAAGCTCACCCAGATTCAAGGAAGAACGCACGACTCTTGTATTTCTATTTTCATATTCCGGAGTTCAGTTTTAAGAAAGGCAGTCAAGCTCTGGTATTCAGTCCAGCGAACCCTTCCAATTGGTGGGAATGCCACCCAAAACCCAGCTTAGGCTCTCATGAGCACAGCCACGGGTGTGCATGGCTCCAATGTCTCCAAAAGCTTGGGTGGACCTATCCGAAGAGGAATCTAACCCGTATTTTATCTTTTATACAAGAAAATTGTATTTTTACACCTGGATTTGTATTGCGCGTTCAGTTTGTAGTTAAAGTGACATGAAACCCTCAGATTTTTTAACATAAACCAATACTGTAATGTGCGCCTTACTGTAATCCATGGTTGGTTCCCTTCTCTTTGCTGCTCTTCTTTTTAAATCCTCATCTCTTCTCATGCTGGGGGAGAACTTCCCTTTTCAGCTCAGGGCCTCTTCCAGTAGTGCTGGCTCAGGTTGTGAACCTGCACACAGACACCGTGTATCCATTCCTGAGACAAGGCAGTCTGCTGCAAAACAGAAGTTCTCCCCCAGCATGAGAAGACATGAGGATTTAAAAGGAAGAGCAGCAAAGAGAAGGGAAACGGCCATGGATTACAGTGCGGTGCACATTACAGTATTGTTTTATGTTAAAAAAATCTGAGGGTTTCATGTCACTTTAATGATTTGAAGGGGAAGTTTCCAGACATCGAAAACTTCCATTTTTTTTTGCCAGTATGTATATTCATTAAGCTACTGTACAAGTATGTATGTGGGATGGGGACCCCGAAGGGTAAGCCTATTCACTCCTGTGAATGTATAGTATGTAAAGCGCTGTGCAAATTGCTGGCGCTGGAATACATTAAACTCTCTCATGTCATTGGTTGGATTTCTTTATTATGACTTTTCTTTGCAGATCTGTAAAAAAAAATTACATCAAGCTGATGCTGAAAAGAGCATCAAAAGAACCTTGCACAGTAAGGTTGAAGAAAGGCACAGGTCCATCTTCTATACCCGTGGTTCTCAACTGGTCGCGACCCCATATTTAGTGGTCACACAGAAGAAGGGACCTTGCGTGGCTGTTTGACGCATGTGACGATGCAATAAAAAAGCGCTTTACTTCTTGCACACATCATGGAGTGCCGGTGACTTCTATCATGGACTGTATCTGACACGGCGCCATCCGTGTTGTCACTTCAAGCGCCGACCTCTCACCCAAGGTCTGTATGGAGTGCAGGTGATTGCGTATTATCGCCCGTATTTAGTGGGTCGCCGCGTGCCTTCCACCGCAATAGGCGAGAGGTTTCTCGGCCCTCCCCCATAGCGCAGCACTGCCAGTTCTCGGGCCGAGCAGCCATTCAAAATATGCTGCCCGACACAGAGTGTCAGCTTAAGGTGGGGTGGAGGTATGGCTGCGAGGGAGCTCCATCCACACCTGCATTGCTTACAGCTCCTTCCCCTGTCCTGTAGAGGCGCCTGGACCGGAGTGACGCCACATTCTGGCTCCCGGCACCTCTACAGCGCGCACAAGGGAGCTGTACAAGCGATGCACGTAGGGATGGAGGTTCAGCACAGCAGCCCACACTTAACCACTACGTTTTTTTTGGCAGTGTGTATGAGGTTGTGTGCGTCCGTCGGTGTTTTAATCGCAAACTACCACGCAATCGCACCTACTGTTCGTTCTGGTGCGTTGCAATTCATTTGAATGTCAGGAAATCACCAGCACTCAGTAGTAAAGATAAATATGTCCCTTTTTATTGGACAGAAAGCGTCACAGACATCCAAATAAACCGACGTTTCGGGACCGCGCAGGGTCCCTTCCTCAAGGCAGAAAGATTTCCTGCGTTTTGCACGGCGCCATCCGTGGTATCTCATCACTGCGAGCACCACTTTTTTCCATATCTGGCCGGGACTGCTGTGAGGAGTGCGGAGGGTCTCTCCATCTACTTGCAGCAATACATTTGAATGGCACACCTACCGCCCACAGTTCGATCGCTTGTACCGGAGCATGCGGTGCTGCAGTGCCATGCGCTCCAGAGTGGTGCGACTTCATGACCGAGGACAAACGTGGGTCCTGAGGTTATACAGGTTGAGAACCACTGCTTTATAATATATATATATTTTTTTTTTTCTAAGTGCTTTTTGTTTATTTTTGTAAATCTTACGTTTTATCGAGCTCACAGGTGAAGAAAATACATGGAAGTAAAAAGAGGACAAGGGGAAAAATAAATACGAAAGAGAATCAGAAAGTGAAGGCAGTTGATAAATGTATACGGTAACCGGAACGGCGAGAAGCTTGAGCGACGCGCGGCATATCTACGTAGCCTGTTGGATAGTCCGACCATGCGCAGTACAGCGCTAGTTGAGTGGTAGTCACCTGGACAGAAGCATGGATGCTGCGTTCCGAGATTGCGCCGTCGAAGAACAACCTGCGCCGTCGAGGAACAACCTGCGCCGTCGAAGAACAACCTGCGCCGTCGAAGAACAAAATGCGCCGTCGAAGAACAACCTGCGCCATCGAAGAACCACCTGCTGTATCGTGATTTCTTTGGGCAGAAGGAGTAACCAATGGAAATCCAGCGTTTGGGTGTTGGCTCAGTATGGTCACCACGAACCAACGAAAGGTTTGTGATTGGATAGAAATGTGCACACAAGGCCACAACGACCGAGCGGAAGCCTTGATAGGAGAAGACCGACGGGATAAGTGTCTCAATTGGCTGCACATTTGGATATTGGTTATGGATCCGCATTTGCCATAGGACATGTTGACTTGGGATACAGGAAATTTGCGCACGATGGGTTCCCCCAACAGCTTACTAGCCGACCTGTGACAATGAGACTGTCACAGGTCGGCTCAGTAGATCTGGAGGTGAGCGAACACATACCGGCGTTCGCTCACCTCTCGATCCTGTCACGGCTCTCTGCTGTGACAGGGGAGGGGCTGGATTCCCCCCGATCCACCAGCGTTGACTGGAGGAACGGACGGGGGAGGGGGCGGGTACAGCTGGCTCTGCCTCCTAGATAGGCAGAGCCAGCTGTCACTCACGCAGCTGGGCGGATCCCGTCACCTACGTCGGGATCCGCTCCGGCTGCGGCGTCTCAGTATACCGCGAGCTGTAGCTCCCTATATACTGAGCCTAGGGTGACGGGAGGACACTAGTTTGTGTCCTTCCGTTACCCTAAGGAGAACTATGGGGAAAAGACTGACCCCATAGTTCTCTTAAGTACTAAAATCCTATTCAGTGTTCACTGAGGGGCAGGGGGTTCAGAGACTATTGGGGCATCTATAATAACACCTGTACAAAGGTCTTATTTACATAATGGGAGGCTAGTGGTCTCTAGAAGATCACAGGTGTCTAAATCTGACCCTTTATGGTACTTAAGTCTCAATCTTGGCCCGGTTACGGAAGTGCCAGGCTCCGTCCCACGCAAATTCCCTCGGGTGAAAGTCTTGCCCCGCACCAAGCAGAGTATGCCTTCCATGTATGATGGGAGACTCTTGCTGCAATAAGACGTTCTAGCTTTCAGCATCATGGGAATCCCTGATTTAGAGAGATACTCCTGTGCCTCTGGACCTGGTACTCCAACAGCCATGCAGTTAAAGCCAGCAACCCTGAGGGCTCGTTCACACCAGATACAGTGCGTTCCGGCCCGCTGGTGACGGTTGCAGTGGTCTGTGTCCCTTTTTAATCCCCGCCTGTATCGGCAGAGGCAGTGGGGACACAGAGCACTGCAGCCAGCGGGGAGACGAGACTCACTGCGTTTCCCAATGCCTCCCTTTGTACCTCCGCTGCTGTCACTG